GCAGTACAAACAAGTTCCTGTCGTGGACAGCGAGTGGAAGAGGAGACTCCCATGAAGTCAAGTGTACGTTTTTCTTATTGAAAAACAGTTCCATACTTTAAATTAACGGTCTAAACGCGTGTTTGCCATTCACAAATTATCAAACAATACATTGTTTATTTCAGTAAGATGCAGCAGTCTTTCTGCACATACAAATAAACAACATGCTTTTGCTTCGTAGGTTCGCTTCGCGTAGCCTTGCTTAGATTGTTTATATCAGGCTACGAAGCCTGCGTGCAGGTTAGATTGTTTATTTTAGGCTACGATATATCTACGAAGCCTGCGCGCAGGTAAAAGTGCAATATTTCATGACTGTACTGTAGGCCTAGAACAAGATCATTTGGTACTATTTCAAATGTACTGTCATCACAATTTAATTTACTTCTATATTGGGATTGAGAAGTCAACGAAAAATGAGACTACCATTGTTTGGCATGCTTTACAGTACAATAAAAAACAGACCTAGGCCCAGCCAGGTACCGTCAAGTTGAGCACAGCCGTTTCTGAGCTTTTTCTAATAAATTATCCGATTCTCATATGAAACTAGGACGACTTTAATTAAAAACACTTGAATATTGACCATGATGCATTGAAATTTGACTTTCGATCGGCCATCATCCTGATAAGTTCAGGATGAACTGAAAAGTCCCTTTGTGTAAGCCCTTCCCCACAAAATCTGCATAATTTCAAGTTCAAGAGGGGTGGGTTTATCCGAGGAACTACAGTTTAAGTGAATAATATTTAATACAACTTACGCAGTTGTCCAAGCTAATGAAGGTGTGGTATTTGAATCACTTAGGGAAGAGTAATTGGACACCAGGTTCCATACATAAAATAAAGTACAATCTAATACTACCACCTTAGTTGTAAACAGGTCAAACAACGGTCAAAAGGAACCTCAAACAATCCAACCATATTCACGCAACATGTTTTTTTTTTCCAAAGTTAATCTGTTGGAGGGCTACATACACATTTTGATGGTTTACAGTGTTTCCAAAAACTTTCATGAACTGGTTATTTCAACTTTACTCTATTTTTTAATATTACTTTTATAGATGATTGGTGTCAGGCCGTAAAAAACAAGGTGTTTCACTAGCCAAAGATGGTTGACAAGCCCTACACATGGTTTTAATTTTTTTTCACGGGTCGCAAAAAGATCACTGTTGAGCCGTACTTTGCCCACCTGTGCACTGAAGCCTTAACATCCGGGAGCTAACCGTTTGCACACATGTGAGAAAGCTTAATCGGTTAGTGCTAACCGTTACCTGGTAGTGCATACGCTAACAGTTCGCAAGTACTATCAGTTAGCAATTTGACCACATTTCTACCAGTAACCCATCAGATGTATGTAATTCCAATTTCCTATAGGTCAATGGTCCCCACTGTCTTCTTAATGACTGGATTGGGAATTTTCTGTATGAAGGCAATGGTGAGTGCGCCTGTTATTAATCTGGGTCCTACTAATCGCAAGCATTTTGGCTTTGTGCTACCAAATTGTAATTGCTGTTTTGTTTAAAACCACAATAAATAAATTTAAAAACCTTTAATCATGAAGTTCTAATCACAAAGGAAACCTAATGAAAGAGCAATTTGAATGTTACAAAAAGGAGACGAATTGACTTGGAGAATAGCAAAATGACCCAATATATAGTGTGGATGATAGGAATACCGATGACAGCACTATATATAATTCAACTTACAAGATATATTTGTTTTGATGAAAAATAATGATATGAAATAAAGTTGGTATCACACTGACCTTTGCATATGAAGAAAAATTATGAGCCTATTCGTCGCCTAGTAGTATGCCTACTACAGGAGGCCCTACCAGGCCTAGCTAGGGCTGGGGGAGGCTAGGCTTATGCACTTTTCAATTGTAATCCCAGCTCCCCCAGACCTGGGCCTAGCGGGGACTTAGCTGCGAGCTGCGTTACATGCATGTGAAGTCCAGTAAAAGCACCTCACGACAATGCGGGGCATCGTTTTAACGCATATCCCCAGCTAGTCCCCGCCACTTACTGTTAAGTCCCAGTAAAATGCCACACTAATAAATGATTGGATGATAAGAACTACTTGAAGGTCTAGCCTAGGTCTGAATCGGAGAAGCATGCGAGAGCTAGTGGCAGGAGCTAGGCCAAGCTTGCTTGATGGAAGCACTACACATGCGTATCACAGATTTCCATGGAAATTTGGAAAATTGCAAATTGACAGATTGATCATATAGAAAAACAAAATAATTGATTAGGCCCAACTGATTTAACTGATTGATAGAATTTAATTATTTAATATCAAAACAGAAATTAGGCCTAAATAAGAAAATGAATACATGTATAGTAGAAACAGATGTCCTTGCCTTGGCTCATGTACTTGCGTCGGTATTTTTGACGCAAACTAGGTCAAATTCATGGTTCATAAATTTTCACGCAACACTGACACGCGCCGCCACTTCGGTCCTCTGCGTTGTGTGGCTGGAGGTTCAAATTTTATTATGTAAAATTTATACCATGATCTATAAAAAAATGAAACCATGATGGTAGGCCTAAAGTACCGGTAGGCGATTTTTTATTACCAAAACACGCAGTAGTTGCTGACTGAATTTCTAGGCCTGAGTAGGCTAGGTAGGACCAGACCCGGTGTGACAGCACTAGGCCTACACACCCGAAACCGCGGCTACGAAAACGTGTGCAATTTCCGGCCCTTCCGAGGCCTGTTACATGTACAGGTAAATTTTAGGTACGTCCCGGCACTACGGGGACACAACTATAATATGTGTACATATCTGGCTCAGTCCCGGCAAGTGCCCCTGGTCAGGGGGCGCGGGGACTACAATTGACAAGTGCATTAGTTACTAGTATAGTAATAAATAGATAGGCCGAGGGTTAATTTTGAAAAAATTATTTATTCATAAATAACTGTCTAAAGTATAATTAGTAATATGTTAGTATAATTAAAAATGTTAAAGTCATTGGACGGCGTTTTCAATTGCATGTTCGATCAAATTTCAAAGAACATGTGATCCGGATGGTCCAAGAACGCTTTTCATTGCGATATTTGGCACCACATGTTTGATAACAACCACACGGCCGGTATACCAATTCTATCAAAAGAATAAGAAAAATATATTCTAGTCTACAATTATTATTAACTGCCAAATTGTTGTGTTTCAATACTTACCATCTAACTTTTCAATGGCTTTATCGGCCAATTCTTGGCTATCTACGTCTACAAAGGCAAATGTTTTATCCGATTTCCCTTGTACTGGTGTCTTGATCAGTACGCTCGTTGGAGGAACGCCATTTTCTTCGAAGATTCGGCGCAGATTATCTTCTGTAACTTCGTTACTGACATTCCCAACAAAAATCTTGTTCATTATGGAAGTTGTTAAAAGTACCCTGCTAAGTTATTAGATGAAATGTGAGCCTAAGAGGCGTTATTTGGGGTGAAAAGAGGCGAAATTGCCGGACCGAGAGAGTCTGAATGTGAGTGTGATGCGATTGACTGGAGCACCGCCTTCTAAAAAGACAGTAAATACCATGAATTCTACCCAGGACACGTGGGCTGGTCATGTGACCAAAGATTGACACGTTATTTCAAAGATAATATAAGTCTCTCTGGTTGGAATATGACTAATAGCCCCGCCTTAATAAATACAAACCAATCAGAGTTCGGAATTTTCATAGGCATGAATCAGAACACCTCATGAATATTGAATGAGCTTTATTTCTCTGTCTCTGGGATTTTAATTCATTGAAAGCCTAGACACAAGCTACAGTAGTTTTACGAACAAAAGGATGGAGATATTCATAGAGTATGGCAGTATTCACAGGGGCATTGCAAGGACACTTGTGATTAAATATTCATGATGGAGAAATTGGAATGAAAAATTAGGATTAGGTTATTCCTTTACAGGGGGGAATTTAGGCCCCTCCCACCTTTTTGGAAAGAAAAAAAAAAGAAAGAAAGAAAAAAATTGATCGCACAAACGAGGTTTTTTTTAGGTGTCTAAAAAACAAAAGTTTCGCGGGAGAATGGCCCCGGATCCCTACTAGGGAAGTGTTATTTCGATCGGCCCCACTTTCTCTCCCCCCCCCCCGCCCTT